CTACTCAGGGCCACTGCCACACCTGAGAGAGAAAAGGATGTGTGTAAAAGGCTCAACATAGCTGGCTCTGGGGGTGACATGCAGGGAGAGGGAGCAGGTTGCCTAAGGCCCTGAGAGGGAGGACTGGTTACCTGACCCTATGAAACAAGAGGGGAAGCTGAGTGGGAGTTGGGATCTTGTCACTGTGCTTCCTGATTAACCTGGGAAGGTGGGGCCAAGGGTCTGGTCAGAGAGACTGGTGCGAGAGAAACCATCAGGTGACTTCCCTAGAAGGTACCCCACTGGGTCCACCTGTGACCCTTGTTTTCTGAGGTCGCCTGAGCCTCAGAGATGCGGTGCTTGCCCCTGTCCTAGTCACCCAGCTTATTTAGCAGAGTTCTACACCTTGCTTGTGCCAAGTGCTGCAAGAATAGTAGAGAAAGCTCCTGGTCCAGGGATTCTGGGCTGAAGGCCAGCCTCGTGACCATGTGATCTGAACACCATGGGAGCCCCACCCCCACCCTCTGAGGAGGGGATCATGAGACCTGTTACGTGAGGAAGAAAGCTAAAGCAAAACTCAGGGAGTGGAATGCTACTAATACTTATGTTTTCAAAGAATATTTAATAGCAGAAACTTTCAAAAGGTACCATAGATTGAATAAATCAAATCACTGAACAGTGGATAGAGTATCATCCTAACTATGTAAAATATCCACATATCATATATATAGACAAATGTATATGTGCCAAGAAAAATAACTGGAAGGAATTATCAACACTGGTTAGTTCTATGGTGGACAATGATTGTGTTTGTATTCTGTTTTTTGTTATCATCAAAATTTTCCCCAGCACACATGTAATATTTTCTTAAGTGAGGAAAAACAAACAAACAAACAAAAACCATAGAGGGCCAGCTGTTTGTTCAAGCCTTCCCAGTTAGAAACCTTGGGCAGAAAGTTCCCAGTTCAGCTTCCCATGAAGGCCCAAGTGGGCACTACACTCACTAAGGCGGCCTGGAAGGGGCCATACACCTGCCACTTCTTCAGCAGAGACTTCAGCTCGCTGGTCACTGCCGGCCAGGCCCCTTCCACAAGCAGGTGAGGGTGCAGGGCCATACCTCATCCAATAAATGACCATGTTAATATTTCTTAGGAAAAGCACAGCTTTGAGGCAAATACAGTGGCACCTCCAGGGCACATTCTGGGAAGAGTGGGTTTTAACAGGAAGGCACGCAGGGAGGCCCAAAGTCGCAAGTCCACTTAAAAATCAGATGCTCATAGATACTGTTCATTCCACAGGTCTGCACAGGCTTGGTGCCAGGTGTGCCATGGCACATCTGAACCTCATGGAGGCTGCACAAGGGCAGGATCAATACCCCATTCTGCAGAAGAAGGAGCAGGCACAGAAAGTACACGATGTGGTCCAATTAACAAGAGGCAGAACCAGGACTTGATGCCAGGTCTGCTTGGCTCCAAAACTTGCCCTGTTTTGCACACAGCCTCCTTTCCTGTGAATGCTAGGGATTTATCTAAAGCACTTTACTCACATCCCTGTGAAGGACAAAGAAACGACTTTGCCTGCTCACCGCATCAGGGCCAGTATCGTGCTGCAGTCGTGAAGACAGCTTCTGGAGGTTTTGCCCTGCACCAAGTAGCCCCGGACTCTTCTTTCACATCCTTCCTGTCACTGGCTAATTCTTGCCATCAGTGGACCTCAGTGGGCCATCTTTATTTCTGCTGCTACTTTAAAAGAAAAAATTTTTTTAGAGACAAAGTTTCTGTCACACAGGCTGAACTTCAGCGGCAAGATCACAGCTCAACCTCCTGGGCTTACACCATCCTCCTGCCTCAGCCTCCTAAGTAGCCAGGACTACAGGCACACACCACTACACCTAGGTAAGTTTAAAATTATTTTTTATTTTTATTTTTTATTTTTTTATTTTTTTGAGTTGGAGTCTCACTCTGTCACCCAGACTGGAGTGCAGGGCTGCTCCCGGCCACTGCAGCCTCAACGTGCTGGGCTCCGGCGATCCTTCCACCTCAGCCTTCCAAGTAACTGGAATTACAGGCACGCACTACCACGCCCGGCTAATTTTTTAAAAATTTATTGTGGAGATGAGGTCTCACCAAGTTGCCCAGGCGGGTCTCGAACCCACGGGCTCAGGCAATTCATTCACCTCAGCCTCCCAAGGCACGGGATTACAGGCTGAGCCACCGAGCCTGGCTTCTTTTTTATTTTTTTATTTTTAGAGACAGAGTCTCACTGTGTTGCCCAGGCTGGTCTCAAACTCCTGAGCCCAAGCAATCCTCCCACCACAGCCTCCCAAAGTACTGAGATTACAGGCGTGAGCCACTATGTCAGCCTTCTTGTTTGTACTTCTTGTTTGCCGCCTTGAATGTAGCCTGGCCTACAGGAGGCAAGCAGACCAAGATGGCCCTGGTAACTGAGCACTGTCCCTTCATCATCTGTGTGTCCATAGTCTCCTCCTCCCTTCTCTGAGGCCTTTTCTGTTTGAGGTCATTTGGCAGCTGCCTGGATGGTTAAAGGTGCCAGAAGTTTGACCACCAGGAAGGCCGTGACTGTCGAACCTCCCACTTTGCTGCACGAAGAGGGAGTCACATCACCATCCTTACTGGGCCTACTCTGCACACCCAATGGACGAGGCAGTCTGCATCTTGAAAACATTCATTTTGGCCGGGTACAGTGGCTCATGCCTGTAGTCCCAGCACTTTGAGAGGTAGAGGCGAGAGGATTGCCTGAGCCCGCAGGTTCAAGACCAGCCTGGACAACATGGCGAGACCTCATCTCTACAATAAATAAAAAAATTATCTAGCTGTGGTGACACATGCCTGTAGTTCCAGCTACTTGGAAGGCTGAGGTGGAAGGATCACCTGAGCCCAGCAGGTCGAGACTGCAGTGGCCTGGGTGACAGAGTGAGACTCTGACTTAAAAAAAAAAAAAAAGAGAAAACATTCATTTCACAAAGTCCTAGTGCCTTCAAACCATGCCAGGTTATATGCTGGGCATCAAAGAGACTAAACATTGACATTTGTCAGTTTTCAAATCTCCACTATTCCATGTTGGAAGAAGAGAGCTATTAGGTCAGGTTCTGAAATAGTAGGTTGGTCTCAGGTCCATGTCTGTCAGGCCATGTCTTGGGCTCTGTAAGAGAGGGTCGGGGGTCAGGCAGATTCTCTCGCTGGAAAGGCCTTTGGAGTCAGAGTCTTATATCCTCATCCTGATGTCACAGATGGGAAACTGAAGTGTGGGTAAGAAAGGGAATTTGTCCTGATGCCAAGCAAGTTGGTGGCTGAGTTAAAACCAGAATAAAGATCTCCTGACGTTTGGGCTGGTACCTCGTCCAATCCGTGCCAGTCTGACCTTGAAGCCCTAGGCTAATGGGGAACTTACCACCTTCCAAACAACCTGGGCCCACCCTCTGTATACATGGGAGGCCCTCTTCCTCTGTGCTCGCACCCTGGGCCCTCCCTGGTCCAGGTGGAGGGACTGTTGTCCTGCAGCATGGCTCAGCCTCCACCCCTGCTGTCAGACCTGCTATCCCCAAGGCCCCTCCCTGGGGTGCAGCATGTGACCTCCACCTTGGACACATGGGGAGGCAGAACCACCCTGCTGGGCTGTGCCTGTGGATCGGGGTGGGCCCAGGATCTGCTTTTAATGACACGGTTCGGCCATCTGGACTCTGTCTGTTCCAACAGGTAAATTACAGGCTTAGCAAGTCAGAAATCAAATAAACACTCCAACTCCCAGCAGCTGCTCCAAGGAGGACAGTGGTTTCCGGGAACAGCAGAGGCTGAGACAAACCTCCCCACCCAACTCAGCCTAATTACTGCCTGTCACTCACTCCCTGGGACAGGGGCCTTTTCTTTGACTCCCAGGCCCAAGACACAGGACAGGGCTGCTGGGCACCCAGGGTGATGCAGACTTTGGTGACCAACCTGTTCTTAACTCCTAGACACAAGCAGACACTGATGGTCTCCGCCCTTGCCCCTTGCCTGGCCAGATCCGCATAATCCCCGTACTCTGGGTGGAGTGGATTGCTCTTCAGCGGGGAAGGAGGGGGAAACTGAGTTCATGTTGACTCTGGATGACTGGTGGTGGCTGTCTGCAGTTCTGTGTGAAGCTCCTGAGGACCTGCCCAAGTTCAGTGGGAAAGGTGTGCAGGTTGATTGCTGATATTGGCCATGGGCAAGGGGGTAGGCCATGATAGCATCTGCTCTATGCCAGCCTGGATCACACGTTGCAGCCACTGTCCTTGTTACTGCTAGGAGTTAACTTTGTCTCAGTACTGAGTTCCAGATGGTGGAGATGGTTGAGGGTACTGGGAGCTCCCAAGGTTCTTTGCTTCTCTGGGGAGTGTCACACCTCTTTCTCAAGCAGAAGAGACAGGCCCAGGGCAGGGGAAGACACATGCCCTAAAATGTTCCTACCAGCTCCAACCTTAGGTCACGGGGCTCATATAGCTTGTTCTTTTTTGTTTGCTAACTGTACCCATGGACCAAGTTAGAGGAATCCAATAATTCACGTACTGAGGACATGTTCATGTCTATTTATGCCTCATCCCAATGCCCAAGTGTTATACCTGGGAAGGGGCAGAGCTGTGTCCACACCCAAACCCTGTGGTGAATGGTGCAAAGCCTGGGTCAGCCAACCTCAGACCATCCAGGGTTGGCCACAGTCTGGACCAGGGATGGCCACAGACAGGTCCTAAGATAGGACTTCTGTCTGACCCCAGACAGTACAATCAGCACCAACTTCAAGGCTGCTGTGTGAATTAGGCCTCCTAAGGGTCGGGTGAGGTGACAGTCTACCACAAACCCCAGGGGAGGGGCACGGAGGGTCCTGGAAAGAACCAGAAACCTGACAGGAAGTGGGCAGGGCAAGTGATGTCCTTCTCCCACCCCTGCCTGAGCTGTGACTGCAATTGAGGATTTTCTGCCTCTGGAGAGGGGCCTGTCCTGAATGAGAAGGGATGGCTGCAGCAGGGACAGGCTGGCAGGGCCTCAGTGGCAGCCACAGGCCTTGACCACCATGTTGCGGTGCTTGCGCAGGATGACGTTGTTGCTGCTGTCATAGTAGAGCACGGAGGTGGCGCTTAGCTTGGTGGGTGCACAGCATGCCTTGGGGACTGCGTCTGGCTTCATCAGGTGCACCTGGCCAGAGAGGGGGCGCAGGCAGAGGCATGAGCCCAGTGACCTCCTCCAAGGACCCACACAGCCTGGTCCCAGCGCCCCACTCCCAGCCCAGCCTGTCTTGCCGGTCTCAGCCTGCTCAGCCCACCAGAGGTCTTTGTAGCCCGGCAGGTTTCAGTGAGCACATCTGTCCCCACCCACCAGCCTCAGGACCAGCCTAGGTACTTAGCATGACCTTTTAGGCTCCATACTCCTGCCCCTGTCTCTCCTAGCCCCCTGGGGTGCCTTCTTGGCACCACCTCCTCTGGGGGCTCCTCCACCTCCACATTCTTCTCAATATCCCCATTGGGTCTTGTCATCACTAGCTGTCTATGGGCCTGTTTCCTCTCTAGACCATGAACCAGGGAATGTGCATGAACAAATAGATGAAACCTAGAGCTCTAGGCTCACCCCAGAGGGGTTTCATCCTCATAACAATTTCTATGACAAGCATTATTATTTGCAGACAAAGAAACGGCATAGAGGCCACATGACATGTCCAGAGGCACAAGACCATCCGACGGCATGGCAGGACTCGACCCAGGTGCCGGTACCCTTCTGCCCTCTCTAAAACAGTTTTTGCCCACGAACAAGAGCCTGATTGAGTGAGCTAACTATTTTCAGCCACCATAAAAATATTTCTCCCGGAACTGGGTGGAGGAACTGCAGTTTATACTGAACTCCTCCCATGGCCCCACAGAAAAGGACCCTGAAGGATGGCCCCACAGCCTGTGAGGGAGGCCAGAGAAAAAGGGGCCTGCTCCTGCTGGTGTGTGTTCTGGCGACTCGGCTGACCTAGGGCCTTTAAGACCTCCCAGATGCTGCTAGGCAGGACCTGGAGAAAGCACTCTGGGCACCTGTCTCCCTTCTCCCAGCCTTTGCCCTGAAGCCCAGCTGTGAGCCATTCTGCTGGGCAGGCCCATTCACAGGCACTGGGCTGGCCTAGAACCAGCAGCCTCACTGAGGCCTGCCGGGGAAAGCTGAGGCCCTGGTAGAGCCATACAGCCAGACAGGGACCTGGGGGTGGCTGCTCCCCTACCTGCCATTCATATGCCCACCTGAGAGAAACCAGGAAACATCACACTATGAGGCCCTAAGTGGCTGGAGATGAGAAGTTGAAGTTGAAACACTGGAGAGAGAAGCCAGGCACCACAGGGACACTACCATTCCTCCTCTCCCCTCCATAGACCTGAGCCTTAGCTGATGGGTGACGAAAGGAGACATGGCCTTTTATTCCATTGGCACTCGACAGGTTGATGTGTGGAGACTAACACACTGTGCATTCGATTCCTTCGTGTGCCTCATGCCATGTGGGAAACCATATCACTGCTCTGGTCCTTGCAAGCTGTGCGTGGCGGGGTCCAGATCTCACATCTGGGGGCCTCTGTTTCCTCTGCCAAACAGGTAGAATCCTGCTTTCCTCATTTCTAACAAAGACATATCTTGGCAGGTGCCTGTGCCAGCCCTGCCAGGAAAGGGAGCACAAAATCACCCAGACACAGTTCCTGCACTCACAGCCTCAGTGGGGAGTGGATGGGGAATGGGAACATTTTGGTGAACAGCCAGGACACACCAGACTGGAACAGTCTTAAGGGCAGGCCCTCAGTGTCCTGGAGCAGGAGCCATGGTGATCAGCTATGCCCAGGGAAGGACATGTGGCAGGGGTATGCGATCGGAGGGGAGGGCAGCAAATGAGGGGCCCCGTGTCGCAGCCCCAGACTCAGACTTCCTCCTGGGGATGAGGTTGTGCCTTAAGATTCCTTAGGCTGCTGTGCAAACAGTGACCCTTCAGGGGGAACCTGGAGGCCCCACTTCTCTTGGCCCTCAGGACCACAGTAGGCTCCCCTCCCACACTGTGGCCTCTGGAGCCTGGGCCTTGGCCACCTCCTGTGTGCTGGCTCCTTCTCCCCAGAGACCTTATCTATCCCCAACACTTGAGACCCTCCAATGCCTGCATCTCTCAGCTTCCCAGCATAAGCTGGGAGTCTCCCTGAACGCCATGCTGCGGGTCCTGCTGCCCACTTGCCTTCTCCACTCAGGATCTAACAGGGCCTGGAGCAGAACTACTGATTTACCCCAACCCTGCCAACAACATCTGGCCCTGACTCAATCCCCTAATCCAGTTCAATCCTCCCCTCACTCCTCCCCTGAATCGACCTCAGGCTCAACCTCCACCACTACGTACCTGGACCACCCTCCTGGCCTCCTGGTCCCAGCTGCCATCACCTCTCCCGGTGAGCACAGCACCCCTCGCTCATTCCCCTGCCTCCTCTGCACTCCACCCCTGCGGCCTATCCCCGCCAGCAGCCAGAGAGGTACTCCTGGAGGGTGGTGCAGATCAGGATAATGCTTTGCCAAAACACTCCAACAGCTTCGTGGTTTACTTGGAATAAAATCCACTCTCTTCTTGGCCAGGGGTGGTGGCTCAAGCCCGTAATCCCAGCACTTTGGGAGGCTGAGGTGAGAGGATTGCCTGAGCTCAGGGCTTCGACACCAGCCTGGGCAACTTGGTGAGATCTCGTCTCTACAATAAATCAAAAAATAAGCCAGGTGTGGTAGTGTGTGCCTGTAGTTCCAGCTACTTGGAAGGCTGAGGCAGAAGGATTGCCTGAGCCCAGCAAGTAGAAGCTGTGGTGTCCATGAGCGTGCCAATGCACTCCAGCCTGGGCAACAGAGTGAGACTTCTACTAAAAATAAATCCACCCTCCTCTCTAGGGGCTCCCAGGCCCTAGGGGAGGCGGCCCTGCCCACCCCCAGCGTGACCTCCCTCCAGTGTCTCTTCCCTCACTGCACGTGGCACCCCACTCCTGCTGCGGGCCCTGAACCACCAAGCTTGCTCCTGTCTCCGGGCCTTGCACTTGCTCCTTCTCCCCGGAACATTCTCCCTCCAGCTCCTGACATGGCCCTTCCTTGTGCAGAGAGCCCTACCCAGTCTCCCTCCATTGGGGGCCCTCTGTCTTCCTCACAGGACACATCTCTTGAGGGTGGGTTTCCTTCCGTGATCACCCACAGCCTCCCCTAGAGGGCGCCTGTCCTGACTGTTTAGTTGAGCCGCTGAGGACCTGGGCTGAGGCTGGGGCAGGGACAGAAGGGACAGTCCTGGGGGGCGCAGTGCAATCACCTGGGTGCACCTCCCTCCCCTGCGGCCCTGAGACCCACACGCATAAAGGGTGGCTGGGCTGGGCCACCCCACACATCCTGCCATCACCCCTGAG